GGAAAGGAAAGGAAAGGAAAGGAAAGGAAAGGAAAGGAAAGGAAAGGAAAGGAAAGGAAAGGAAAGGAAAGGAAAGGAAAGAGAAAAGGAGGCCAACAAGCAGCTCAACATTGTCACAGAGCCCTAGGAGAAGCTAGCGAAACATCAGAATTGAAAGGACATGCTGGAAACCACATAGGGCAAAGCAGCAACTTTTCCTGAGTGCTTTGCAAAGGTGCTGCTTCACAACTGCCAGAGAAAACGTGAGCATGTGGCTGCAGAAAGCAGACATACACGTGACGGGTGTAAAGTACTCGAGACCAGGGTGGCAAGCAACGAGGGAAGCAGCATGGACCAGAGAAGGGAAAGCAATCCATATGCTGCGGAAAATGCGTGTGAAATGGTGAGTGCATGTACAGAAAGGGAAAAGGGGGCTGGTATTGGAAAGCACGCCCAGACCTTTGTGAAAAGGAAGAGAAAGAAGCCCCCAGTGACTAGTTTTGTTACTCCTGTGCAGTCCTCGCTATCCTACCTACAGCTCCCAGCCCCTGGAAACCTGCAAGAAGCAGGATGGGCTGTGGGCCTCCCCATGCTCTGCTCATTTCTACATGCAGCAGCAATTGTATGGGGCTGCTAGGAACTAGTATAATTTATGTAAATTACACAGATGGGCTGCTTTATCTTGCAACCATGTATGCATCTTTTTTTTTTTTTTCTCAGTGACTTGCAACATGGTTGATTTTTTTTCTTATATTAACTCATCTGCCTTGACACACCCTCTTTTTTAATYAACACTCATCTTTAAACTAGCAGAGTTCTTCCAGCTCCCCTTTTGCACACAATAAGGTGATATACAATAACCGCACATTACTGTAAAAGTGCCTCGCTTTTGTCAACGTATGCCACTTTTTCATTTTAAACCATCTTTTTCATTTTAAACATTTTTAGCAATCTTGGTTTGCAATTTCAGTTTACCAATTTTATTTTGGAAATAGCTTTAGGAAAATATGCTTTTATTTAAAAAGCAAAAATCCAGCATTTTCACAGAAGTGCTGTAGCATTTTTGTAATTTAAAAGATAAAAAAGAAAAAAAAATAGTTGTGCTTCTCATAGTAATTGTGATCTTCATTAATGGTTATTCAGTGAAAGATCACCCTGTCCTCCAGAGGGATGAGAACTGGAAGAAGAAAGTGGCACCTGGCTTGCGAGCTGCACCTCTGCCTTTCGCCTCTGCCCCTTCACGGGCCAAGTGAGAAGGCAGGTTGGTCTGCACAGAGGTCTGGTGCCCCGAAGGAAGCAGCCGCTCAGCAAAGCTCCTTGCCCCTCTGCCTGGCAGCGTGGCTCCAGGGACACGCTGGCCTCTTGTCCCACTGGCTTACACAGAAGCAAGCACACACACTCACACCCCACATTTCTTATATGCTGGCTTCAGTGTCCCCAAAAGCGAGGACTATGGACCCGGCTTGGCAGGTCCCGTAGCACAAAGTCCTGCCCCGCTCTCGCTACGCTCCCTCCGCAGTGTTTGCACCATGCACAGCACTCGCCCCAAGAGCCTCCGAAGGGGCGATGGCCACGTCCCCCATTCCATGGCCACGCTGGTGGCACACGGACCACCTGGAACCAAGTCGAGTCTTACCACCGAACTTCGATGATCTCGGAAGCCTATAAACTTTTAGAGCGGTTCAGCGATACGCAGACGGTGCAAGGCAGATTAAGGAAAGAAGCCGCCTGTTTTCACTAGCGGAAAGTAGAGATCAACCCAAGTGGGCCATTCACTTGGAACAGTAATTCAAGCGATTATCACAAAAGTGATGCATTGTCTTCATTACAGCCTTAAGCTGTAAAAGGCAAAGAGCCCGCTTTGGTAGCTGAATAGTTTTGCTTCAAATACTGAAAGCTAAAGCAAACTCAAAAACTCATCCCAGTGAGGTCCCAATTCTTCATTCCATTGAAAATTATGTAGAAATTTTCTGACATAAAGTGTTCCAAATTATGTTAACAAGGTTAAGAAACAGTTTTAAAATGGACAATACAGAAATAGAAAGGGTATTAAAGAATTACTGCTCCTGCTGTTAGTTTTCTTCTCCAGTAATTTACATGTTTACTAGAACAGTCAAACAATTGTCCCAACTRTAACTTAAAATTAATTAAAACCAAGGTCTTGAAGTTAGAGAAAGATGTGAATTTATAGAAATAGAGCACTCTTGTTGGAAGGCAGTGACAGTTATAGAAGAGCGTTTCTTTAAATATATGTTAGCTAGCACACGAAAAAAAATCATACATTAAAAAGAAAATCAGTCCGTCACACTTCTAGGAACAGGTTTTTTAAACAATTATTCTAGGCTGTAGATCTCTACATTTACAGAATGACAGCTTTATATCTCTGGCAATCCAAATCAGTTTGGCTGTTTCAATAGCAAATATTTATTTAAATGAATTCTTCCACTATAGATGTACTTTCTACATCTACTCATCAAAAGCATCCTAAACTTATTGTGAAGGGACCTGGCTGCTTATGTGACTTATGTGACAGACCTCAATGTGACACATAATGGTATGTATCCACCATCGTGGCAACATTTTCTTTTTTTTTTTTTGCTTACCCATCATATCTTTTGCCTTCTTGAAATGTTTATACCACCTTCCAAATTCCTGACATTTTGCTGCTGAGACATTTGCATAGTAAGTGCTGTTCACAATGGAAGAAATCATACTCTGTGTGAAAAGGGGAAAAGAAAAAAAAATCATCTGTAATACAGAGCAGTACAAGTCAAAGCAAAAATTATTTCAATTGTTGAAACCATTTTTTTTTTAGAGTTTGAGAACACCGTTGCATTTTTAATCCTATTGTCCAAAGCCTTTTAAAAAACTCATTAATCGAGCACTAAAACAAATCAAGGAATACTATAAAATGGAGCAAGAAAAGCAGATGCACTAAAAGAAGAACAAAGTTTTTGACAGAGACACATCGGGCTATGAACTGAAGATTTTCATCTTGAAAATGCATTTTTTAGTACTGTTTCTACTTTTAAATTCACTTAATCCCTCCAATACCCACAGAAGTTTACAGATCTACAAATGCTACCCTGACTTCAGAAATGCAAGCACCCAAAACATTCATGCCTGTTCATCTCATGTCACTTTCTTACAGAGCTGAACCCCGAAAATCTTAAGACCAAAGTTCACTTGAATGAGTTAATAGTAGGATACAGCAAAGTGGCTGATAGTAGGATAAAACACATACAGAACAGACTGAAACAGATTTTTCCTAAAAATGATATTCAAAAGATTCACAGAAATGGGCTTATGGAAAACTCTCATTGTCAAGTCTAATACTATAACTGAATATTAGCTGTAAAATATACTACAAAATGATAGAAATGATTTTTTCACATAGTGTTCCAGAGGTGTCAGATAGCAGCAGTGAAAWTTTTACTTTCTGCTCAATTTTAGCCATTTTTAGTACAGTCGAATTTAGAACGCATAAAACTTTCAATTCCTGTGCATTTCCTTACAAAATCCGTTAAGATAAGGCCTTGCAAAATGAAGCACTGCTCCAGCTTGAAAATTATACTCACGACGTATGAACAACAAAATTAGTAAATGTAACTTCAGTAGCCTGAACTTTGCCACCCGTTACATTTTTGTGTGGAAAGTAGTCACTTTCAGCTTAACTACAGGAATTGCCCAGCAGACCGAGAAAACAATGACAGCCAAGAAGACAAAGCCCGATTATTATGTTTCTTTGCTATTCAGCATGTAATATTCAGCTATATTTGTGCTGTCGTAAAATCAATGTACAGCACGAACCCTTTGTTAGACAAACTGCGATAACCACTAGAAGAAATAGTTTAGAGTAAAAATGCAATAAATATGGCTATAAGACTGCCCATTAGAAGTCTATTCCAGCTTCTGAGAAAAAGTGCCTTGATTATTGATCTTCGCAAAGTTCATTATAACCATTTGTTTTCTAACGTGCTGCTCAGTCACACGCTATTTGTGGAGCCTCAGGGCCGCTGGAGTGAGGCTGTACTATTCATGCCACGCGTGGATACCCTCTACTCATCAGGAAGCTATTATTAAGTTTTTCTGAATCACCCAAATTCTTACCATTCCTTGATATTAATCTGGCATTTCTGAGTCTATAAAAGTAGAACAAAATCTCTGACTGTAGCTCTAGTCTGAATGGCCTGAACCAAGCTCAGCTGAATCCAACTTCAATTTCCAGTACAGCAGAGTATCATTAATGCCCAATACTTACAAAACTGTTGTTTAAAGTCCTTTGGAAATTAAGTCATTTTAAAATTTGTCATGTGATACATAAGGTGTCATTAAAAATTACTCCTGTGAATCAGAACTGAGAGATTATACAAGCATGTGGACAACTGCACATGCAACCCATGCATTTGCATGTGCAAAATGGGGAACTGCAAGTGTAGCGGACCACTTTGCCTAGAATAACTTGTGCATATTTTGTGGTTATAATTTAGATTTCAGGGTCAATTTTTTGTATTTTAATTCTATACATCTATGATGTCTTCTCCTGCAATTACGACTTTAATAAGCATGAACACACATATACTAAAAGCAATTTTACTGAATTTCTTATTATCAATGATGATGTTTGCCTAAAATTTCCTAGCCTTCTCATGCATGTCATTATATAAAGGAGAGATATCAATGTCATGACAGTTTGTGACATCCTCTGCTTCCTCGGGAAAAGCTGAATGCAGCAACTGTATTTTACAACCAAATAGGCGACTGGTGCGTTTAAACACTGTTAGGAACTCTAGCTTCTTTGACAAGATATGAATTTGAGACTCTGATGGCTAATATCATTAAAACTCTAGTTTTTCAAAGCAGCAAGAAAAATAAGTCATAGACATTACCATCATATTTCAAAATTAAAAATATAGTTTTATTAATTAAATTACAATTAAATTTTCTTTGAGAACACTTCTCACAAACATTCAAGTGATATTACCTGCGCTAAGAATCCTCATCAGGAGGAATCAATGATTTATTTACTAATTCACTGAAAGCAAAATTTTACAAGCCAGATAAAATATTACTACCTTGTTAACTCTGAAAAAAGCTTGACAACATGGAACTTCATCGTTTCTATTCTTTATTTATTATGCTGTTGTCAAACTTGCAGTCATGGCAGTGCAGAGAGATGCACTTTCCTATAGAGAACGGTAGAATAAAATTTTTGGAAGGCAGTAGTCTACAGCTACCAAAAAGGCAATCCTTTCATGTGTCTGGAAAATAAGATTATTTCCCATGTATGCCACTAGCAAATACTGACCCAATCAACTGCTTGGCCAATGGGTTTCTATCTCCTGTCTGCAGACTTTTTCTTTAGAGTTGATGAAAACAAAGCTACTAGAAAAGGCCAATTCCTGTATGGTTTGGTGGCACTTTACATATATGGGTGGCCACTATGCTTAGGGTCTAAACCTGAAGACTGAAACCTTCTGATTGAGTTGTCTTCAGAGATCCATGACCTAGACTGGAAGAATGCCGAACCTAATCCTCTTTCCCAGATCACTATTGCACATGAGGAGCTCCCCACATCTCACTTTAGATTTATCCATAATCCAAATGAGAATGATCATATCCAAAACACATTGAATTCTAGTCTAGCGGTACATGGACATACCTCATCTGCACGTCACAGAGGCAGACGCCTTCCCCGTACAGGGAATATGAATATATCATAGAAATAGCAGACATATCCAAATGTATCATACTAATCACTCATACACTAATTTCTTTTTTACAGATTGCAAACAAAATTGATTAAAAAAAAATGGCCACAGATCCACAGATTTAACATCTCTCCTACAAGTTTCTCCTCAAAAAAAGTCGCAAGACTTCAAGACCACAAATCCCCCTCTCTCATCTCCYTCCACCCCTTCCCCCAAAGCAGCAACTTGCAGCCCTTCTCTGAGAATCAGAAGATCTACTCTGAAATGGTGCCACCTTCACAGAAATCCCACTATTCTGGAATGATACCATCTGCTGCAGCCCAAGTGCTCTTTTTTTAGCCAAATAAGTTAATTATAATTAGCTCCAACAACTGTGTAGAGGTAGGGCTAGATTTGTTCTGAAGTTCAGCTGAGGTTCACTCGGTGCGGCTGGAACCAAACCCCACTCTCTCGGGAAGATTAAATATCAAGAGACTGGAAAACCAGACACAGCAATTTCTCAAAGAAAATGGGGAACTTTCTGGGGGAATATGCTAAATCTCAGCCAGAATTCATCTGGAAATTTGAAAAACTGATAAAACAGCAGCAGCAGGCACCTTTTGCAATGTGCCTGAGCCGAATGCAAGGCGCGTTCTGCAAGGCAAGAGGAGGACCTGAGGGGTTCGTACACTGCAGCCACCATTGCAGGTGCTCCGAAGGAGGCATTTCCAAACCCTTTCCCTAACAGTGCTTCCCAAGCAGGTGAAGTATTGTTCGATCCCTGCTAAAAGTATACGGTTGTCCTTTTTGCAAAACAACAAAAACAATGTTAATCAGGTTAATTCAATCATCTAAACCAAAACTGTTCATGCTTTTCTGCCAAATCAACCAACCACAGCAAAATCTGTTATCAGTGATTGCTCAGCTTCCAGTCAAAAAAGCTTTTAACCCCCACAGTCCCAAAACTTCCCCTAAATAACCTTAAAATTATATTGATATGGGTGGAATGAGGTTGTTTCCATGCCTCATGAAGGGGCAGTTGGGCTGCAGAATTTGCACAGGGCAAATACTCCCTGCTGAGTCTGTTAGGAGGTAAGAGAGACAAAAGCTTCCTAAAACAACTCAGCTGAACTGGATATTGGGGATTCCTCGGCAAATGAAACATTCCCCTCAAAAGAAGCATTGTAACCAAAACTTACTTAGGCCTTTTGGGTTGTTTAACTAGGGAAAAAAAAATCCAAGCTTTTTTTGCAACTCATTCATCAGTGTTTAAAGCTTCGAGCCTGCTCAGTGGAAGGGGCAAGGGCTGCAACAACTTATTTACACAATTATCTAAATACGATTAAACAGCTGATGGACAAATATTAAACTGGAAAATGTATAGTCATTTCAGCTTAATGTAATCCTCTTTCTGTAAACACCCAAGATGATTTTTTTTCAACCAGAACAGTCCTGACATCTCATAAGCCTAAGGGTGAATAGCAAGAGATTGTTTTTGATAGTTATAAATATTCAAAAGACATGCAGACCATCTGCTTTCATAATACAGGTAAAGCAAGACTGAAATGGTGACTGCTGTATAAAAATGGTTCTTTTAACAAAGTCTTCCTCTCCTCGAAAACTATAAAGACAGATGTCAAAAACTGTTTACACAGGGTAATCAGGAGCGTGCAAAATGTAATATTCCTTTTACACACAGTGCTTGCTAAAGAGATTTTTTTTTTCTTTTTCTTCCCATCTGTGTGTTGCAACACATTTCTACAAGTTAAAAACATTTTTTCAAACAGAGATCTCATGAATACCCAAAAACATGCTATCTGGTTGCTGAATGCTAATTAATTTCAGCGAAGGAACCGGATTCCTTTTTCTGTAGGAAGGAACGCGTGCTTTTGAAAGGGAGCACTTCAACAATAACAGCCACTGAGAACAGAGCACCCCGCAAGTTGCATTTTGCACTACTTTGACACTGGCTATTTCCACGCCGGTTTTACATACGAAGCTGCATCTGTTAAATCTGGCTATAAG